GTGTTCTTCTTCATCCCCTAAGGCTCTACCTCCTAAAGGTTATAGACCTTCCAAAAAGAATGCCACCACCTATGGACCAAGTGTTCAAACACATGAGCCTGTGGGAACATTTCACATTCAAATAGTGCACATCATAGACTCTCCTCTAGACATACATTTTCCTTCATGCTGCTTTCTTAGTGGGTGTTTTAGTTGGCATTTCTGTTGCAGTGGTAAAACACTATGACCATAACAACTTGAAGAGGTAAGGATTTTGTTTTGGTTTACCACTCTCAGGTCACACCCCATTAATGATGGAAGTCAGGGCAGGAACTCACATAGGGCAGGAACTTGGAGACAAGAGCTGATGCAGAGGCCATGGAGGAGTGATGCTTTCTTTATTGCTTCTCATAGCTTGCTCAGCCCGATTTCTTATAACACCCCAGACCAGCAGCCTAGGGGAGTCATCACCCATAGTGACTTGGGCCTCTCATATCAACAATCAATCAAGAGCTTATTTACAGATAGGAACATTTTCTTAGTTGAGGTTCCCTCTTCCAAAGTGACTTTAACTTGTGTCAAGTTGATGTAAAAATCACTTAACACAGTGGGAGAACTTAAAGGATTTTTGAGAGCATCATGGCTTCATTGTTCTGAGGCTTCTTTCTTTTCTTTTCTTTTTTTTTTTTTTTTTTTTTTTTTTTTTTGGTTTTTTGAGACAGGGTTTCCCTGTGGCTTTGGAGGCTGTCCTGGAACTCGCTTGGTAGTCCAGGCTGGTCTCGAACTCACAGAGATCCGCCTGCCTCTGCCTCCCAAGTGCTGGGATTAAAGGCGTGCGCCACCAATGCCCGGCGAGGCTTCTTTCTTTTCAACATAGGATGTGGAAGGAAGGCTCAGCATTTGTTGCCAACTGCAGCTCCAGGCTCTGGAATTGGGAAGATGTGGATTGAATTCCTGTTCTGCTGTGTATTATGATGTAAACTGAAAACTACTGTCCCTAGACCTCTATTCATCTGCAAACAAGGGTACATGTGGTGTGGACAAAGATCCTCTACTTGACAGACTTGAGCCAGGCTCTTCAAGTCCTCTAAGTCACAAAGCTGAACTTGGATTTCAGTCTCTGTCCATGAAGGATTCAATTTAGCAAAAATCCTATTAAGTAAGTTTAGAGAGATTCCCTGTTCTGCATATCTGACCAAACTCCTTATGCCTCACCTCCACATTCCCTATGTTTACTCAGAATAACTTCCCTCAGCTGCTTCAGTCTACTCCACTCTTCGGTGACAAACTCTTCTCTTGCTTGGTTGTGTTTGAAGTTGAACCAACCCCACCAAAGTTCTTCCTACATACAGTGCAGTGGTCTTGAGTACTATGCCTTGTCTTTTTTTTTTCTTTTGGTTTTTTGAGACAGGATTTCTCTGTGTAGCTTTGGAGCCTCTCCTGGAACTCGATCTGTAGACTAGGCTGGCCTCAGACTCAAAGAAATCCACCTGCCTCTGCCTCCCGAGGGATGGGATTAAAGGTGTGCATCACCAATGCCCAGCTCTCTGCCTTGTCTTTTAAAATGGGTCAGTACTTTTTTCCACAGACAGTATCTGCCTTAGATGGTTGTGAGGACTAGAGTTGAAATGCAGGGAATTACGTAGTTGTGAATGTGGTACAGGGATAGAGTATGTGGTGCTTTCCAACTTCTATTGTGATCATTGCTGCTTTTGAGTCTCTTTTCATTTCCTTCATTTGTTTTTTATTTTCTTAAGGTTCATTTTACATTACAACTACAGTTCTCCCTCCAACCCCTCCTCCAATCCCCCTCAGCACCCCCTGAGCCCACCCCTAGTCCACTCCTCACAGGTAAGGGCTCCCATGAAGAGTCAACAAAGTCTGTCACAATAGGATGGGGTCGGGCCAAGCCCCTCTCCCATGCATTAAGGCTGAGCATGGTATCCCACCATAGCAAATGGGTTCCAACAAACTAGCTCATGTACCATAATCATCAAACAGCCTTCCTCTTTCTTTAGATGCTTGTGGTAAATGTTTCCCCAAGGCAGTATCTTCTCTGGATTGAGTACCATGTTTCTTACCTCTTCTTCACGTGATGTAAGAGCGCATCTCATCTTCATGCTGCTTCCCTCTCAGTGGGGGCATCATCAGTAGCTGATGCTGGGCTATTGTTCTCAGACAAACTCCTGCACTTGAGTGTGTGCTGGACACCTAATGGCTATAAGAGAATGCTACTTGCTGTCTACCTAGAGTCAGGACTGCCCACTCCCTGCAACCAATGGAATGAAAGGTAGGGGAAAGGGTAGACAGATGGAGGGGAAACAAGACATTATGAGTGATATCTCTTCCTACTCCCCAGTTTGTAAAATTGGATGATGCCCACTGTCGGGTGTGGCACTGCTGGCCTGCCTTTTTTGTTGTTGATGTTTGGCAAGCTCTGTCTCCTACCATACCTGTGTGGCTTGGTGCCATATACCACATGTACCCAGAGGATTCTAGTTATTTTTGACTTGTGATCTTGTTTCCACCAATGATTTTGATAGCCGTTTCCTCAGTTCTGCATCATTCTGGTTTTAGACGATACCTTCTTAGAACCCTTGAACAGTGAATGAGTAAAGGGCCCAAGCCTCCTGGTCAGCAGTGACTTCTTGCTAATGCAGGGGTCAGGGCCTTCCAGTGCAGTCTGCTTAGTGACCCCATTGCACGTGGCAGCTTTTCCACACCTATCACAATGTTTGAGGTAATAAACTTGGCAAGGAAAGTTGCATTGAGCTCATAATTTTGCTTTGAGCTTATGGTTGAGTGGTCCCACTCCGGTGAGCCTGTTTGGTGACAAAAGTGGCATGTGGTGTAACAGAACCACTCACAACACAAGCTGGGCAGCAGCAGAGAGAAAGCCAATGATCAGGCTTCCACACTCCCCTTCCAAGACATGGCCGGTGACCAAAAGGCCTTCCCTTCTTGGCCCTACTTCCTATCGGCTTAACCACATCTCAATGGTGCTTTTGGGTCTACATCTTTATCACAATAAACATTCAACATCAAAATTCTAATGAGCAAAATATTTACAACCGTCCGTGTTGTCCATGAGGAAAATATTATTATCTTAAGGGTAATGAAAATGGAGAGAGAATAAGAATGTGGGTGATTGTGGTGAGAAACTGAAGAGTACAGTATAAAAGTGGGTATATTAACCTAAAAATGCATGCAGTTTTAATCTATTGTGTTCATGGAAATAGCAAATGGATGGAAAGATTGATAAATCCATTGCTAAGACATATTGCTTAGATTAATGGAAACTAAAAGAGGAATATAAAGTAATTGTCTTTAAACCCTTCAGCTTACCCTTAATTTGCATTTACTTTGTCAAGATATCTTGTGCAGCAGAAACTATTGAGGAGGTTGTGAGTTGATTTGCTCCCCCATAAGAACCATAAAACCAAGGTATATGTATGCATGTTAAAGTCTTGGAACCCAGAATCTCAGAGAACGTGATTTCATTTGGAAAGAACACTTTGTTGAGGTAAGCAAATCTACGTGACAGCAGTAGGAGAGACCACGATTCAATATAACTGGTGTCCTTATAGACAGGGAGCATTGTCACTACATACACAGAAGGAACATGCTGTGAAGGATTGCAGTGCGTATACCAAGTGAAGAGGTGATGTTGGTCTAGCAGATCTACAAGGTCAGGAGTACCCGAGAGGAACAGAGATCGGGAGAGTAGCATGGAAACATATGCTTCCCTGGCATGATGAAGTGTGGCAAAATGCCTAATATTTTAGACTCTGAGACAATATATTTGTGTTGTTTTAAGTGGTCCAACTCATGATAGCTTTAGAAGATTGGAACATAGGCCAGATATTGTGTTTTCAAAAAAATAGTTGGGGTATTAAAATTTTAGATCTATATATGAATGAACATTGAAAGCTAAGAGTTCAAAACCAGGGCGGTACACTGTAATTCCCTGTTATGGTAAGCCCACCTCACAGTTGATTAGCAACATGATTTGCTGGCAATATTTCTGCAGCACTATCAAATTAAGCAACATTGCAGATGTTTTGAACATTCCTACTGTGTTATATCATGGCACCCATGAAAGTAAAATCTGAGACTTTTTATTGTCTAGAGGCCCTGGTATCAGGCTACATTTCCATATGGATTTTGACCAACAATCATAAATAACAGAGAACCTGCTCATAAACAGTCTGAAGGCAGTGAATCAGACAGATGGTATTTGGAGGTGGGATCGGGAGAGTTTAAAATGGCAAGTGAGTAGGCAAAAGGACAGTTGCCATGTGCATACTGGGAGGACAGGATGCACCAGCTCTTCCTCTGGTAAGATAAGACCACGTGGAAACACTTAGATTAATAGAAATGGGTTAATAAGACAGAACTAGCAAATTAGAAGCCTTAGCCACCAGCTAAAAATTTCATAATTAATATAGTGTCTCTCTGTGTGTATTTGGGGCAAAATGGCTGTGGGAAACTCTGTAACATCTACTGTATTCTAGGCTTTGTGGCTAGGTGTAGAAAACACGTAATTGAAAAGATGTGGTGACTGTTCTCAATGAAAGACAATCAGGTTGAGAACTAGTTGTAAGCATAGGTGAAAAATGAGTCAAATGAAGGACAAGGTGACCGAAGAACCTTGAAATTGGCTAAATATATAAGGGAGAGCTTCATAAAGGAGCAGAGAGGCACAGATATGCAAATTAAAAAAACAACAGACAAATCAGTTGCATGAGTGTGGAACTATTAGGAATGATGTGAACATTTGAACCTCTTTTTAAACATCATCCATGACTATAAATGTATCCATATAAAGGGCACAATTATTCAGAGTCGAACAACTGTTACCCCAACCCAAACATAGAGCAGATTTACTATACAAAGACAACTTCTTCCAACGTTGAATGCTCTTATAATAAAGGAGTCGAGGCATAAAGGCTTAAAGACCTCTTTACTGTTGATCTGTTAAGGACGGGAAATGTTGCACATGAAGTAAGCTATACACATGATTTTGTGTCTTTCATTTTTTAATTTTATTGGTGACAATGTAAATAGGTACATGAAAATCTCCACCATCTCTACACATGTATTTAAATAAAACAAGAGTTCTAAGATTTGGATTTCAGTGATGACTAGAACATTATTACTTTACTGTATAAAAATCTCGAAGTTTACAAAATATGCTATTCCCCGTGTCTCATTAAAAAAAAACACAAAACAAGAAAGAAAACAGATTCAATAACTAGGAAAGAGAACTTAATGAAGAGAAATACAGATAGGCTCCTGGTGAAACCTAGCACGTGATGAGTTATGAAACACCCAGCAGTGCTGTGAACATTGTTGTATACTCAGTGTTCTCTATGAGGATTTGTGTCTAGGAACATACCACTGGAGGGTTCACATGACTTCACTTTTCTACACGCATGTGGATGGCAGCCCTCTGCACATCTGTAGTGGAGACCGTGTGAAGCCACATATTTCCTTTGATATCCCCATATCTTTTTCTGTGTTGGTCCTGTCTTCCCCCTGGTATCCCTAGTTTTCCCCCATATGACTATATAAACTGTATCCCCCAGTTCCTGTGTTTAGCGCTAAGAGTTCTCTGAGTTCCTTTCAAACCGGAGATACATTCCAAACTTCTGGGGAGTTTGTATTGGTCCCCCATCAGGAATCACAAAAGTCAAACCATTATGTAGTATATAGAGAGCTGTTTGTTCTCCCTCACATCATATCATATAGATAGCTTTCTGCCTATGAAACTGGTTCTACCAAAAAGGCTGACAGTGAAGACAACTACAGAGACTGATAAGGAACCCACAAAACTCTATGAGGCAAGTGCCGTGCTCCATATACTAGCCACACACACTGGGAACTAGATGTGAGCTCCTGATAGACACAAACCAGCTACCAGGACAGGTTTAATTGACAAGCAGGGGAAGATGAACAGCAACGATGTTTGTCTGTCTGCCTTTCATTTGCTTTCCAAAGAACTTTGGCAACTGAAACCAAGTGGCTCCTTTCCAGGTTAAGGCAGCACATAAAATTTATTGTCTGTGAGTTTGGTTCATCTTTCAAATAAAGTGTCATTGTTGAGATTAAGACACAGATTTTCCAGACTGCTTTGTAAACATTTGGATTTTGGTCAGCTTGTTGTATCAGACTTAGTATTCAGGATATTAATTAAAAAAACTAATGCCAGTGTAAACATGCCTCAGATACAGGTTTTTTTATATATATTGCACATAAAATTTTGTTGAGCATTTCTCCATAGCAATTTTTCATTTTTATAAAAAGGCTATAACATTGTGCAGGCCATCTTATGAATTTGGCTGGTCAATATTACTTCAAAATGGTAATATTACAAATGATTATGGATTATTTACAAGAGCTCTAATAACATTTTCTGGATGGTTAAGTAAAGATGATGGTAAAATAGCTTAAATGTAGAAGATTATTTCCCAATATTACATTCTAGGAAAGATTAAACAGTAAGGAGTGGGTAATAAAGTTGTAATAAGTATTGTTACATCCTTAAGAGTGACTTTTCTGTTTCTCTCACACTTGTATAAATTCATATATCTCCATCTTATTTATGTTCAACACATTTTCTTATTTCTATTAGTGTGAGGTATTATAATAATAGTAAGTGTGTAGATCCCAAGCTAAATATTGGTGTTTACTGTAGCTATTAAAATAATATTCACCCATATTGTTAAATTGTTTTTTATACGGACTCTAAAAATTGTGCCAGTATTTTAAAAACTCTATCAAGGTAGTGAGTTTAGAGAAATCAGTAGAAATATTACATGTATAAAAGGAACTATAAATACAAAATTTTGTGTCGAATTATGCAGATTTCAGTCCCTGGAGAACATGAAGAAAAGTAACTCCAGGTAACAGGCAGCAAGATATTAAGCAAAACCGACCCCTGGCACCAATTTGCATGTAATGCTGTTTAGCAAATGAAGAATCAAACATGTTATCTGCACAGAGTAGTTGTCTTGAGGAAATAATCTGAGTGATATTGAAATCTAGCCAACTAACTCTTAATTTCCAAATCCTCTAGATGGCCTGATTCTCTACCTAGAGAAATGGAAAATAAATAAATACATTTTTTGTCCTCACTCAATGAAATGATCTTGGTTATTTCACAAGTACTTTCACAGTCCTGACAACATATTGTGTGTCTCCCTGAGCCATTGCTTCCTTAGAAAGGTTTCTCGTCCCTAGGGAGGTGTCACAGATTCCATCAGGTTACAGTAGTGTTCAACCTTAGTCCATCTCATCTCTGCAGGAACCGTTTTCGCAAGTCGCATTGGGCTGATCTGGATGGCTGCCTGAGTTCCCACAGCCATTCCAAAATGTCTGCCAGATGTGAAATGGTGAAAGCAAAAGAAATTGTCACAACGGCTAATTGTTTCTACAGTGTAGGTGGTTTCCTTCCCCACAGGGTTCTCTGCACTCCACGTCAATGCATGAAGTAGATGAGGTGATCATTAGGCATCCTTCCATTCCCTAGGTCACTGGCAGGTATGGAAGGCTTTGATCATTTTGCTCTTGTGTCCTTTCTTTCTTTCTTAGAATAGGACCAGTGTTTGAATTTTAGGTCTTCATGTTGTTTCTGAGTCATGCCTCTGGTGTCTTGTCACTGGTCAGTTGTTCCCTGTCTGTCATTTCATCCTGAGGAGGTCTTGCTCTATCAAAGAATCCACACTAGGAGAAAGAAAAAATCAAGTCATCTGTGGAGTTTTGTGAAGTATCTTACTTAATTAAATACCTTGTATTTTTCACATTTTAAAAAGAAACCTGGGGATATGGGAATGCTATCTGTCTAATTCTCCAAATTAAGAGGGAGAAATCCGAGTGTTAGTTACCTGTGGAGAGAATTCATTGCTTGGACAAAGTTTGCAGAGCATCTGTGTCTCTCCTCCTGCTACAAAAGCAGTGGTGGCAGAATGTCTTCACTTCATAGAAACCACTCATGGACCTTAGATATTTTCTTGTATTATAATTAGTCTTCTAAGAATCGTTCTGCTTTTCTGTATGCTTTCCACATGCTGCCTGACAACTGACCTGACAAGTATCATTTCCTGTGGTATTCTGTAGGGTACTTAGGACACACTACAGAAGGAAGTGACATTGTTGTCTGTTCTTCTGGATTTGGTGGGGCATACAGTATTTAGAGGAAGCTACAATTTGTGGTTTATGCCAATGAAAGTACCAGGCAGGATGGGATATCCTTGTGACTTTCTACAGGTTTATCAGTACTATGGTAAAGATTATTCCAGAGTCTTCTTTCTATTGAAATTCAAATTAATATGTTACCCCAGAGGATGCATATTTTCCTAGAACCATAGAACTTGAATTATTATTTATTGTTTCCCACGTGTGAAACACAGAAAGAGGGTTTTTTTGTAAGATTAGTGGGGGGTATTTAGCATATAGAATGCTATCCAGTTACTGTAAGTAGCAGAATAATGCTAAAGGTATCTCTACATGTGTGCCTGCCAGAGACTAGATGGACTCAGGATAGTACAGACAGCTGATAATGATTAGAAAAGCTATTCTTTAACTCAAACAAAGTTTTCTAAGTTCTGTAAGGCATACCACTGCCTATTGTTTCAAAATTTATAAATGCCGTGTTCTCAGAGAGCCACACAATAGTAGTTGACTGAATTGAGACTGGGATGACTATTCTTCTAATCATGTTACTGTGACACTGGTTTTCATTTACAGTGAGGGACTTTGTATAACTTGGCAAATGTACAAGTTACTTGGCTATAAATCTGATGCTCTTACAAGACTTTCAGAACAAGCCTCAGCAGGACATATCTAACAATTTGTTAGTTTCCTGTTAGAGACAGACTAGTTGACAACATGGAAAACTAACTCCACACACCTTATGCATGGCCTGTTTGATAATAGCTGAAATGAAAAAAATTAGAGTCAACCTATATTTGTTGCTTAGTTGCAACTGGCAATAGGATGGATCATGCCAATAAAACACACAGCTTCCTGGGTAACTGACAAGAAAGAGAAGTCTTGATAATTATAATATTACTCTGAGCACACTGAAAAGATCACAGGTCTTAAGACAATTATTCAATATATTAATTTATAAGAAATCTCAAGATAAGGGCCAGAAATGTCACTCAGGAGAGAAAGGCTTGCCTAAGTCTGTGCAAATCCCTGGGTTCAATTCCTATCACTAAAAAAACTTCATTGTAGAAGAAGTTTACTCTTTATCTTCTAAAATATTAAATTCCAAAGTAAAATAGACATAATTTTTTCTGTCCTCAGGATTTATCAAAATCAAAATCTTTATCATTATATTTAATAATTTCAAACCATATCCTTTCACTCCCTCAATGACTTCTGATCCCCAACAGAAAAGTAAAGAAAATTGTCTTACCTTCCATAAAGCTAAAGTTAAGATGGCCAGAACAAGCAAGCCAAGAAGGATTGCTAGTATTATGACCCACAATGGAATTGAGAAGGAGACATTTGGAGTGGCCCAAATCACTGAAGTCTTAATCTGAAAAGAAAGTGAAACAAATGAGTGTTAACTTGATAAGATAAGCAGAAGCTTTCAGTTTGCTACTGGAAATAATCTTGAAGTGATTCTCATACCAACTGAAGGAATTCCAGGGCAGATCAGGAGGTCACAGCAAAAGAACTTGGACTCTAAAATAGGCACACACCCATGTCTAGGAGACTGAGTGAAAATCTAATAGCAGGTATTTGTTGGATGGGCGACCTTTAATCATGGGACCCTAGACTGAAATCCAGGAAAACTAAGAGCCAAAAAGATGGAAAAGAAGAGCTTAAATTGGTGTGGACCTCTATGCAAGCAATAGACTAACAACTTCGAGTGTCAAGAGTACCCACACTTCTCATCATGTTGCTCAGCTAATCTTACTGAAATGTGGGTTTGTGAGCAACAATGAAATATTAGATATTTGAGAGTCAGTGTCACTAGTTAATATCACTACTGGGTCTCTTCACCTGTAGACTATGTGATAAATGACAGCTGAGAACTTGAGGCTAGCCACCCTGCATCCATCCATCCATCCATCCATCCATCCATCCATCCATCCATCCATCCATCCATCCATCATGTGTGTGTGTGTGTGTCCATACATGTGTAGGGTCAGAGAATAACTTTCTAGGCATCGTTCTCTTCTTTCGCCATGTGAACTCAATGACTAGAGCTCAGGTCATCACGATTGGCAGCATGTGCTCTTGATCATTGAGCCATTTTTCCAGCCCCTATCTTGTATTTTTATGGAGTTACTTGATGTAAAAATTATCAGAATAAGAGTGAAGCCACTTGTGTCAACTCTAATAAAAAGGAATAAACAAAGGCAGCGTGAAGGAGGGTTCTCATGAATGATTGCATGATAGTCATCCATAACAAAGATTCTGCCCAGGAAGGCCTTGGAGAGATGGTTCAATGCTTAAGAACACTTGCTGCTGGGAGTTTGATTCTCAGCACCTGCAACTACCCATAAATCCCTTTGACCTCTACAGACATCTATACACATATGCTCACACACACATACACATATACACACATGATGGGAGATGCCATTCTGAAATCTGTCTCTTATTGGTTGTTGAATAAAGCACTTTTGGCCAATAGGGAAGCAAGATAGGTGGGACTAAGAGTTGAGGAGGATTCTGGGAAAGAGAGACACAGGCAGACAACATGTAGTTGCCATAGAAGTAACAGGTCCGGACCCTTTCTCTGGTAAGAGAAGTACTTAGATGAACAATTATGGGGTAAATACTTAAGTCAGAGATAGCCAGTAAGAAACCAAGCAAATTGCCAACAGCTTCAGAATTAATATAGCCTCCTGTGTGTTCATTTGGGATTGATGCGGCTCTGGAACCAGGCTGGCGGGAAGGCTGCACTCAACACACGCAAAAATAAAGTCTTTAAAAGATTCTTCTGAAATAAAAAAGGTCACTTCAACACACACACACACACACACACACACACACACACACACACACACATGCACATACACAAAAAATATACAGACACTCCAGTTCTGTAAAGTTACATGCCTACAAGTGCCTGATAAATTTAGAATAATAGTACTTTTGTTAAGCCCTGGGCTAATGATTATTGTTTCAGATTATCTTATTTCATTGTCCTCATTTTTGCATAGGGTCTAATAAGGTGCTTCAGTGGGTAAAGCACTTTCTATGCAAGCAGGAGGACCTGAGTTCAGATTTCCAGAACCCTTGTAAAAGCTAGGCATGTCATATGAGCATTTCTAATCCCATTGTATTTACCAGGAGAGGTGGGAGATGGGAATCCCTGAAGCTCATGGGACAACTAGCCTCGTGAATGTAGCAATAAAGGTGAACATAAGGACCTACAACTGATATAGCTCTCTTGTGTTCACTTGCATGCCTGCACACACACACACACACACACATGCATGCATGCACACATGCACACATGTATATGCACATTTACAAACTGTTTCCTTTTCCTCAACTTCTCCTAGCATAGTCAGTTTGCTATAGCAAATGTATTCCCATTGAGTGATATTCTAGTCCCTAGTAAACATCATTATTAATAGGAGACGGTCTGATTGTTGTTTAGATTGATGCCGTACTGTGCAAAGTGATGTGGTGTTATTCTCATGTGTTTGGGCTGCCTTCAAGCCTAAGTCTAATTTTCATGGACAGAGCTGGAGTAAGCACCTGGGGATAAGAAGGGCCCATGTCATGCCCCACTGTTGGAAAGATTTCTGAAGGAAAATGAGACCTCTCTATTGGGTCTGTAAGGTCAGAACACTATCGACCCACACATGGACAGAAGAAGAGCCTCTCTTGCTTCAGAGCTGGGAGTCTGTGCAAGGAAGCTACAGAACCCCATGTAAACTGGAGGAGGGACCAAGCCATGCTACTGAAACTTCTGATTAGAGAAATTGAAAGCAAAACATATTCTTGGATCTGAATATTATCTATCATGCTTGATACATCTGTCTGGCTGTAGCAGTAGTACGCATTGCTTCCTTTAAATTGGTCTATATGCTCTTCATTTTAAGTATATTCATTGAAACTACCTAAGAACTCTAGACCACAATCCTATAGGGAGTTGTGGAGAGGGAATCATGACTGATTGGTAGCTGTGAACCAGTTTGGCAGAAAATGACTGGACATTTTCATTAGTGGAAGCTAGTATTGGACCCTAATCATACCTATGTATATATGTATGTGTGTGTATGTGTGTGTGTGTTTGTGTGTGTGTGTGTGTGTGTGTGTGTGTGTGCATGTATGTTTGTTCTGCCTTCTTAACTAGGTTTGGAACCCTGCCAATGCTCTGCTCAGCTCTTCCTGATTTCATTGTTCCTCTCATCTTAATCCATGCCTGCATCTAGCAGACATATGAATGGATTATGGGTCCTTCACCAGGTGACCTCCCTACTTGGCCATTGCAAGCTTTAATGGACTTCGTCAAAAGTCAGTCTCTCTGTTGAAATAAGCATGGAAGTCCCCTACAAAGTTCAAAGCAAGATTCGGGAAGGGCTCTTTTTTTTTCTCACAACAGCAGTGAAAATGTAAAATTAAAGCATGGGATGGACACATGTTGGGCTTCTGAAGCAGGGAGCAACTCTTTCCTTTCCTGGCTCTTGGCTTATATTTATTTTTCAGAGATTCTGGCAGTTGTGCCTTGGGCAGCCTGAGGAGATGATCACCATGCAGTGATCCAAAACTCTAAAATCCTCTTTTCGTCCCAGAATTCTGAATTCCTCATTATCAAAACTGTGGCCAGCCTGATTCCAGTAACATTTGGTTTATTTTAAGCTACCACTTCCTCCCATCCCTCTGAGTACCCTCAAGTATAAGGATTATCCATGTCATGTATATTTCTTGCATGCCATCCCATACAGTTCACCAAGGGGAAGGGATAGAAGGCCTTGGCAGACTCTGAGTGCTTCCCTCTGTCTCTGGGATTACAGACCTCACTCCTCCCTGGGGTCTCCCTAAAATGACTTGGTATTTATGATGCACATTTAGAAAGTCAGGACGCCAACGCCAGTGGGAATGCATAGAGCCAAGTGACCCAGAGCACTGGTGGGCTTGCAGCGCAGTTAGAGAGGGGCTGTAAAGAGCAGAACATCGTGAACCATTGGGAGAGACCGTATGCCTTGGAAAAGAAGGAGTCTGTTACATTCAGGTCTGTGACTCTGGGCCACTAGCAAAGCACAGCTCTTCCCGAGACTCACTGCTCTGAAGAGATAAACGAGAGACTGAAACTGCATTCGGCTTAAAAGGAAACAATTAACTGGTCACTTTGTTGGGACCTATGTTTATTTAAATTCATGGTAGTGGAGAATTGCAAACTAATTTTGGAGATGTTTGAATGAAAGTAAAATGCCGACAAATACCAAAATTTTGTAATTTCTAGTACTTACATTCATCTTGACAAGTCCCCGAGAAGCTAAGTCTGAAGTAGTCAAAGGTTAATAACTAATGAGAAAATGAACCATGAAATGTGAGGTTTCTTATGACTAACTGCGGATTTACGCTGAGAAATTTGTGTTTATGTCAAATAATATGAAACACCCCATGTTCTCTGAATCCCTGTAGGACCTTGGTCTGGCTCACTGCTGCCCAATGGAAATGTTAGACATGTGTGAATTAGAATTTTGTATCAGTCACATAAAAAAAAACGAGGATACATTAATATTAACAATATGCTGTTAAAACCCAAATATCAACTATTAATATAAACCTATTGTCATTTAAACGTGTTGTTAATATGTTAAAAAGTACAGTATCTCTTATATTCTTGTTTTAATTGTTTCCAAAGTCCAGTTACTCTTCACAATTGGCCATATGCAACAGTCACAAACTTTTCAATCGCTAAAGTGAAATGAATTTCTACAAAACTAACAAACTGTGCTTAATGGAAGAAATATTTGTACGGCATCAGACCTTTCAGTTACATTTTATAGAATGAAAATGAAATCAAGCTATGAATTTGTTCTGCAGTCCCACATTTCAGGAACTCAGGCTCTATAGGCCTGGCAATGTCCTTGTGACACAATGGTTAGATCAGCCAACATATCCAAATTCCTCACTGGAAGATTTGTCTGCCTCATAGCAGAGTACAGAGCATATGTTGCACTGAATGTTTACTTTAGAGCCTGCACTGGATAGAAGCCCTTGTGCCCAGGCCTGATGACCTAAGTGCAAACCCTGGATTCCACAAGGGGGCAGGAGAGAACCAACTCCTGAGTTGTCCTCTGACCTCCACTAGGTAGGTGTGTGTGTGTGTGTGTGTGTGCGCGCACGCGCGCGCGCCCATGCCCATGTGCCTGTGCGTTCTCTCTCTCTCTCTCCTCAAAAAATTGGAAACATTAAAGATTTATTTTCAGACCCAGGCTTGGAACTGGGTTCTTCAACTTCCCAACAAAGATTTGAGTAACTGGAGAACTGAAAATGTTGTGAGGAGTCCTGTTGCCTGCCAACAAATCAGCTATCTGCTTTCATGCATTTTTGCTTATCAGGAACTTGAAGCTATTTAAAGAAATGGTATAAAAACTTAGCAACTCACTTATTATCATTATCTGTGGCTTTAGGAAGTAGAATCTATAAATTATAAGCAGTTGGATTTTCTCAAAGTGATCCTAAGCAGGGAACATTTAATCTTACCTTCATCATATCGTAAATCTTGCTGTTCTTTATTATGGTCGAAAGACTATAAATAAACTTCAATATGTCTACATTCTATCATTGACATTTATGGTAAAGTTTTGGGTATTTTGATTTAAAAAACACTAAGGTGGGAGGAAACAGCTTCCTTGTGTTTGCAAATGTAATTAACATTGACATGTGTGTTTACATATCACAAAGTCTTATGTAAACATACTGGAATGGGGTCGGGCGAATGTTTTAATAAATATACCAAGATGCTTTACCTACAATGCCATTTAGAAGAAAACAGAAACACAAAGGGGAGCAGCTGAGCACACAGTCAGCAGCCCCAGGAATCATGTCACCATCAGGAGTCTGTACTCCAGAAAACATTTCATTCATGAGTTCTGTATGTAAATGTTGAAGTTTTTTGAAATGATTCTGAAAATGAAATGTATTTGCAATTTGCAGAAGAGATTTTTACATGAGGATTTTTCATGAAATAGTTTATAATAATAACCCCTTTTGCATTTATACTAGACAACAATCCTCTCTCCTAAATGTAAATTGTGGAATTGGGTGTTTGTTGAATAACATGCAAATGGCTAGGTCTCCCTGGTCAGTCAAAAAAAGGGGGGGGGGGACATTCAAGTAATTGAATCATCTTTTTCATTTTTATTTCTTTTTTTTTCTGTGCTGTGATGACTTAAGATTCACTTGTATGCCTCTAAACCTTTTGGCCCCTGCCTCACCTCTGATAGGAGTTTGTTTGTTACTCAGTCAGATGCTATGTGAGTGGCAGGTAGGGACTTATGTGTCAAGATCTGGCTAAATTATGACCACATTGGAAAGGAAGTACAAACCAATCAAGCATCCCACACAAGCGTCCAGGAAAACAATCATGTATCAGCTAGTCTCACTGCAAAGTCTTCTCCAGTGTCCTGACGGATCTTGGCTGATTCTCAAGTGACTGATTCAACTGACTCTCTCACCTTACAGCAATTCTCTTCCACTGGACTCTTTTTGAGAGAAAGAATGGTGAGATCTTTGAGAACTTTATCACCAAGATGTCTGCCCTGTCCAGCCAGAGTTCTCTCTAAGCCACAAAAAGACCAGTTGTCTCTACACTGAACAGCTAACTTTGTACTGGCAAGATCCTCTTGTGAGTCACATATTAGAAGACTTGAAAGCAGTTTCCTTCCCAAATGTTTTTCCAATAACTTCTGTCTAAATGATGTGGTAAATCATCGTCATCAGATAACAGGTCTTTTTTTTTTCTTTGTTTCTAATATAGAAACGGATGGTGTCATAGGAGGACACATGCATTTGATCATTACATGGATCTTTTGAGATGAGTTGAGAACAGCAGGCTGTCACCTGTAGCCAGCCCTGAAAGATGCAATCCTGTTGATGGAATCGACTGGAACATGTGTTTCTGTTATGAAACACGTGCTCCAGGAAAACAAAAGGGGTCTGGATTTATCTCTCCAAGAGCTGCAAGTCTTTGAACCTCTTTGGATGAATGCTCTGTATTAAAAGCCCTAAGCCTCTGTTTTCTGGGTTGAACATAAATCCAGGCTATAGCAGACAGCTTGTGGGAGAATGAGAAGTGATCTAAATGAAGAAAGATGTGGCCAGGCTGGCTTTAAAATACATTGCTCAAATCTTGATTGTCATTTCCAGCGTGGGCTTACTAGACTTAGCCAGAGAAGAGGAGACATTTGGGGATGGTTATGAACATTTGTTGAGACTGGAGACTTAGTTATCCCTTGCCAATCACTGAAACTTTGGTTATCTATAAGGGTTTTACATCATAGCTGCAGGCCCCTCCCCACACCTATTTAGTCCAGACACATGGAGTGAGGTCTCAGGGTGTATACATTTCTACATGTATTTAAAGTTGCATGAGTAATGGTTCTAATTGTATATTTCAAGTTGAGACTAGATGAATAACCAATAGATAATCTACTTCACTTACTTCTTACGTGTGTCTGTCTATGTGTGCATGTGTACATGTGGGTGTTTGTGTGCATATGCATGTGCATGTATGTGGAGACAAAGGGCAACTTCAGGTGTTGTCCTGGCTTTTGTTTTTATTTTTGGTTTGAGACAGGGTTACTCACTGGCCTAGAATTGGTAAATTACGTGAGGCCGGCTGGCCAGGGAGCCTGAGGCCTAGTGAGCCTGTCTCTATCTCCTCCATGCTGGGAGTACAGGCGTGCATCACCAAGCCCTGCTCTTTATTTTATTTCATTGTACTTTATGTGTACAGTGTTCTGTCTGCATGCACGCCTGGGCACGGTATGCATGACTGGTGCCCACAGAGGCCAGAAGAGGCCATCAGATTCCCTGGAATGGGAGTTATAGATAGATGGTGTGAGCCACCATGTGGGTGCTGAGAATCAACATCAGGTCCTCTAGAAAAGCATCCAGCACTTTAAACCACCAAGCCATCTCTCTAGTCCCCTTCTCCTTAAAAAAAAATGAGTTCCAGATACCAGACTCATGCTTGCAAAGCAAGCAATTTACTGACTGAATTATTTCTCCAGCCCATAATTTCAATTACCAAAGGTCAATTAGGCTACAAAGATGAACCATTACAGTGAAATGGAAGACCTGGGCTGGAAATGGATAGGTAGCAAAGTGATCAGCTATATACATTCTAATGGGTACTTCACAAACCTGACTGTGTGGATGTCCTGATAATTTTGATCCAATACATGCTTAGAGAGAAGCTTGCATCTATATTTCTAACCAGCCCCCAGAAGATTCCCAGGATCCTGGTTTCTAAGACACATTTTGAATAACAAAGCCCTAGGGACCAGAATTCAAGTTGTGGGCAATGAATATCCACTGATCACTAAGTGAGTATACTTGAAACTTTTAATACTGTTTTTTGTATCGAGACAGGGTCTCACTGTGTCTCTCTGGGTGTCCTGGAAATCATTATGTAGACCATACTGGCCTGGAACTCATAGAGATCTGCCTGCCTCTTCCTCCTGATTGCTGGGATTAAAGGTGTGTGCCACCATGCCTGGCTTTAATATTGTTCTGAAGAGAACTGAGTTTTTCAGGGTTTGGTCATCTTTGTAAGTAATTATAAAGGCAAAGTTTTGTGAACCATCCTTCTGACGATCTCAGAGATGCCCTTCTTATCTTTGCAAGGGTTTGCCACACACATGAAGATGTCAAAAATTATTCTGTGGCAGCTATGAAGTTCAGTGGTGTTTAAAAGCCTTGATTTAAAAAAAACAATATTTTTTCAACTGTAGCTCATGTTTCCCCTATGTCTCAAATCAGAATTGTTCTCGGCTGTAAAAGGACAGAGGGCTCTAAAAGTTTGCAGCTGGTCTGGGGAAGTTTCCTCTCTCCCTACCAGACTAGCCATGCTGCTATCAAAATTTAAGAATCAGTATGAATTTGCTATGGCCACTATTTCTATTGGAATGTGTTTCTCTGGCATAGAACAACGGATTTAAAAAGTGCTGTATGGTGTGAGTCTTGTACCTGAATTTTTTAATGTAGAGATTTCCATGAAAATTTAATAACTGGATCAAAAGACACTGGGAAATATCTAGAATAAAAGAAGAAATGGTGGGATAAAGAGGAGCAATATTCTTTAATCCATGCAGATGTCTTGACCAAGCCCAAGCTGGACAATGCTTTAGAAACAACTTTAATGAGATAATCTGTATCTGCGGCTCTTAAAGAGATACTCACTGCTATGCTCCCAGTGGGGAGTGTTGCTGGCTGGTCTTTATAAGGCATCTTCTTCACTGCAAAGGACACCAGAGATGCAAGAGCATAGGGATCATTCTTCCTCTGAAAGTAAAGACATTGCTTTAAATTTATGTTCTTGAAAAGTCTTAAATACACTGCTGCACACTGGGTTGTTTTCAGTATTTCCTATGTCCAATCCAAAACTTGTTTCTGTTCTTCTTCTATGTTAGCCATCCATCCATCCATCCACCAGTCCATCCATCCATCCATCCATCCATCCATCCATCCATCCATCCATCCAACCAACTATGATGCATTTATCCATCCTTCCAAACGTCTATCTGTACATTTATCTTTCTTCTAAATATCCATCACATCCATTCAAATATCTGACTAACCATTCATGTACCTCCTATTTTTAATTATATGTATATTTAATATACATTTTAATCTTATATTTTACATATAATTTAATCTTATATTATATACATGGACAAAGTTTTCAATATATACATATTATATATATCTGTAATACTAAACACACATACACACAAACATATTTGAGAGTTTTTTTTAAGATGGAATTTCACTATGTAGCCTTCTTCTGCCTCCAGTGCTTGGGATTTAAGGCTTGTGCCACCATGCCTGGTTAAGATAAATTTTGTTAGTATAATATTTGTGCCTAAGTTTAAGAGGAACCATTCTAAAAGGAGTAAGTACAAGGATTTTCTGGAGTTACTGCTTGTGAAGGGCAAGGGGACCCACAGGGATTACAGCCCCTTGTTACCCCAGAGAGGAAAGTTATGAAGAAATGTTTCACATCTTATGTTGCACAGAAGGCCCAGAGTGGAGCTACTCAGCCTCAGTGCTACTGAATCCATGGGTAGGCCTGGAGTCTGTCCTGAGCACGTGAAGGTGTTTACCAGTCTCTGTCTTCTCCCTCCTAGATATTCCAGTTGTGGGGCCTGGAATGCTCCTGAGGGCTAATGGCCAAGATTTCAGAAACTCTGAGGTCAGTTGTTAAATCACAGCATAATAAAGACATGAGGTGGGAGGGAGATGTATTGAGAAGGATTCTGGGGGGTGTTGGAGGGAGTAGGGGGTAGATATGATTAAGATATATTATATACATGGACAAAGTTTTCAAAATAAATAAAAAGTTATAAAAATTAAAATATATAAATTAACTTATATTTATAAAATATAAAGTCAAAACTCAATTCTGTGTAACTATTTTATTATTACCATTGTTACTAATATTACTTATATATATATATATATCTGTTTCATAAAGGAAAACATCATACAATGATGTGTGCTTGGGTATCTCTTCCCAGCATCCACATTTTCTAACATGGTGCTGGCATGCTAAAACAACCACAGAAGAAACATTTATATCGTGGAAAATGGCAGGTGTTATATCAAAGAGCCCTTGATTCCTCTCAGGCATCAGAAATTCAGTACATCTAAAAGTTACCAGTACATCCCCACCTATTTGGGGCCTCTTGGAACCAATCCAACTATTTGAATTGCAAAAATTTTGTTCTAATCTTTTTACAGGTTAAGATTTTCCTATGAATGAATTTTTCTGCCTTAGTAAACCCTACTTTTTATATATGATAAGCACAGACCATGAAATGTAACTTTTATGTATTTAAAGTAACTATATCTCCGCCTTTTCTTTCTAATCATTAAATATCTAATAGACTAACTATTCATTTGAAACAAATTATGTTCAAAGTGTCATTCCTTGATGGTCTATCCTTGGCCGCCATTTCCATTTTTAGCTGAAAGTTGGATTTTTAAAAATTTATGTGTTAAAACTTTTTATAAAATGTGGAAATACTGCTAGTACTTGATGATTTTAGTCTAATTTACTCACTTGGGAAGCACTCTAGCAATGAAATACCATGATTTTGTTTTGTTTTGAGACAGAATCTCACTCGGTAGCCAAAGTTTACTTGGAACTCTTGCTGTAGCCAAGGCTAGCCTCAAACTGATGGTAATCTCCTAATTCAGCCTCAGGCATGAACCACCACACAGGCAAGCGATAAGGTTCTATGGATAAGGATTATAATTCCATAGACAGTGGTGTCCATTCCTCTAAACCCTTGTTCGTTTAGGGCTTCTGTTGCCACGATAATACACCATAACCAATAGCAACCCAGGAAATAAAGGATTTATTTAATCTTATAACTCTAAGGTCACACTCCATCATGCAGAGAAGTCAGGGCAGAAACTCAAGGCTAGAACCCAAAAGCAGGAACTGAAGTGAAAGCCATGGATGAACACTGCTTACTGGCTATACCTCATCACTTGTTCAGCTGCTTTCTTATATAACCCAGGACTAGCTACTTGGGGAGGTACCACCCACAATAAGCTGGCCCCACCCACAGGAATCATTAATCAAGAAAATGCCCCACAGCCTTACCTACAGGCAATTCTCAATTCTCAGTTGAGGATCGCTGTCCTAGTTAATTACAGCAGTTTTCAGGTTGACAAAAACCTGACCAGAACATTCTCAATGAAGAAGCTTTCAGAACTGGGGTGGTAGTGCGTGCCTGTGATTCCAGCACTTGTCAGGCAGGAGGATCAGGAACTGAAGACCAGTCTGGGCTACTTAGGAATTAGAGGCTAGTCTATCATCCTAGGATGCAAAGACTTGTCTCAAAACAAAACAACACAGAATTCAGAAGGCATATCAAAGTTAAGTTCTGTGGCAGACACTTGCCTAGGATGTACAAAGCTCTGCTTCAATCCCTATACTACTACAAAAGCCAAAAAATCAAACCAAACCAAACCAAAATCAAACCAAACCCAGATAGTAGTTTTCCCTGGTTATGTTGGCTCACACCGATAATCTCAGTAGGTTAGATGATTTGGCAAGAAAATTGCTATGAATTAGAAGTCATCCTGGATTACATAGTGAATGTGGATTCAAAGAAAAAATAACAAAAAATGTTTTTTAAAAAACCTCCAAAATGTTTTCATTAATCTCCCAGTTCAATAAAAAACTTGGCAAAAAAATTTAAATTACAGTACTAGAAGCCATATCTTCAGCAAACAAATTTTAGCCAGAACTGCATTTCTGCACAGCTTCTAGATGGAGAACATTTCTCATGCTGCTTCTAGATTTAGGAACAGGATCTTCTCAATGCACTAAAGCTGGGGTTTGATAGTGTCTTCCAGACACAATGAACTGCTGCTTATATGAACTCACAGAGGCTAGTAGACAAGACTGGCTTGGGTTCAAGCTAGATGGGATCCTAGCACTGAGGGGTAAAAGTGGACACAAGGTTCCTTCCCTAACCAAGAAGCTGTCTGCTATTGATACCCACTGGCAAATGGAAAATCCATTTTCTCCAATGGGGTCTCACTGGGTATCTGGACTACACCTCCTTCTTTTGCCCCTCCCACTGTTCCCCATAGCTGGACCTGTAATGTGTAGTTTTTCTTGCCATCCGCCTTGGCCCTGCCACAGTTGCAGTCTCCAAATAACATACAAGACACTATATTAATTATGAAGCTGTTGGCCGTTTGCTTGGTTTCTTATTGGTTAGCTCTGACTTAAGTATTTAACCCGTAATTGTTAATCTAAGCATTTCTCTTACTGGAGAAAAAGGTCCAGAACTCTTACTCCTCTAGCAGCCTACATTGTGTCTGTCTGTGCCTCTCTTTACCAGAATCCTCCTAGTCCCACCTATCTTGCTTTCCTATTGGCTAACAGTGCTTTATTCAACAACCAATAAGAGAGACAGATTTACAAAATGACATCTCCCATCATGGACCTGAGATTTATTGTTCATCTATTTCCAGTCTTTACTCTTGCTTCACTGGTTCACACACCACTGTGATTTTTTGGGTCTCTGAGAATTCCTGAGATCTATGTCTGAGGTACTGAATCTGACTTCAATGAAACTGTATTTGAAATGTAATATTGTGTTATACCATAGCATTTATATTTATTTTTTGAGTTTTATATCATTGTTTATAATTTTTATTTTCATATTTTGCATTCATGATCCACAAAATGATGTCTGAACCACATGCACAATGGCAGCTTTCCAAGTTATATTGCCTCGTGGTATCATGGCTGCCTTAGTCTGAGTGAGTCTGCTTTATGTTGTTTGCACAGGAGCAATGCTGCTCTAGAACCTCTTAAAGTTATTAGTCATTAACAGATGTTTAATAATAACATGATGGGTCTGTCTTCCCCAACTTGATACAAAATTGAAAGCCTACTCTATAGAGGTGTAATGAACCACAAACTAACCACTATCTTTTGTTTCACTGCATGAAATGATGCACAAGTTTTCTGATGACCTTTGGGTCTTTATATGACTAATTTGCTGGGTGAGATTTTCCAATGACTGATTACACTGTCTCAAAAAACAACACAAGGCAAATCTCTTCTGCACACATTGCCACACTGCAGAGTCAAGGACTGAAAACCTTCACCTTGCCACAGTTTGCAATTAGTCCTTAGAAATACAATGTTCCTTGGTCATCACCATATCTTTTAAACTGTTGTTAGCAGTTCATTGGCTGTCTCTAGTGTGCAGTGTGTGTGTGTGTAAGACAAAGATCTGTCTTGCTTGTTTTTTCTTACAGTCTGTCTACCTTGTTTTTTTGAAGCAGGGTCTCCTGAGACCTGTGGCTCATCAGTTAGGTTAGAATGGCTGACCAGTGCGCCTCAGTGATATACCCAAATCCCAGTGAGGGATTATCTGATGAAATCACCATATCCTGCTTTTTACTTGGGTTCTGGGGGATTGAAATTAGATCCTTATACTAGTGAAGCAGGCACTTTACTGACTGAGCTGTCTCAGCTACTGTATACTTTCTCACTATGGGTTCCTTATGGTACTAATCAAAGTTACAGGGTTGGCAATGCATGGGGAGAGGAGGCGCCTGGGCTTGATAAATATATAAGTGTGTTTGCCAATATCAAGCGCTTTATCTCTTCTGTCTTTGAACTGCTTAATTCCCTCTCAAGACTGATGATAATGGTGATGATGGTGGTTTTATTTGAGAAAGGACTCTCGATGTAACTCAAGCTGGCCTTGAACTTGCCACCTTCCTGTCTCTATCACCTGGGTATT